GCAAGTCATTGCATTCAGCTCTGGGCAGCAGACAAATAGGAATTTATACTCAGGTGTCAATTCTAGCCTCTGCCCGCCCACTGCCTTTGTCTGAGAGGGATTACACCCTGAGGGTTGGTGCTTTACTTATGAAAGTTCTCTGCGTTTTCCCTGTGGCGGCTGTCCCGAACCTCTGTTTGTTCTCCTCACGTCTGTGCCACAGTCAGCATGGAACAGCACTAGCCCTTTCCCCCTCCACTTCTCTCAAGGAGATGCCCAAAAATCTGGACTTCAAACCTCAAAACCTCGGATTGAGTGGGTGGTGACTCCTCGGAGTTCAATGTTGCAGGTAGAGAATATATACAGTTTTATATAGTTCAAACTTTCCCTCAACCATACACCTGGGGTGCCCCTTTGAATAGTCCTTGGGTGGTCTGCCAGGTTTAAGGGGTACAAATCAGTTGTCCCAGTCAGCACCCATTTCAGGTGGAAGAGTTCAAATGTCTCTGGGAGCTAGATAAGAGGGGTCTGCTTGTAGCTCAGATATAACTTGCTCCAGTGCTCTGTGAGGGCGAAGGGACCCAACTGGCAAATGAGTTAGTCTGGGAAGGTTAATAGCTCCTTCTCCACCTTGCACCCAGCCACTCATAATCCCCCAGGTCTGTGACCCTATTCACTCCAGTAGGCCACTGCTCCCGGGGTTTACGACTGGCAAAATCAGCCAGAAATCTGAGTTCGGCAAGGGGGCCTTGCATTTTTTAAATTAGGTTTCTGTCCAGCTAGATTTCTCTGCAAGTCTTTGCATTCAGCTCTGGGCAGCAGACAAATAGCAATTTACACTCAGGTGTCAATTCTAGCCTCTGCCCGCCCACTGCCTTTGTCTGAGGGGGATTACACCCTGAGGGTTGGTGCTTTACTTATGAAAGTTCTCTGTGTTTTACGTGTGGCTGCTGTCCCAAACCTCTGTTTGCCCAGAGATGGGGCTCGAATGACATCAGTTTGCAGCTCAGGATGCCACTGTTGCTGTATTGGCATCCCCTGAGCTGACCTTCCTCTCCTCATGCCTGTACCACAGTCAGCACAGAACAGCACCAGCCCTTTCCCCCTCCACTTCTCTCAAAGAAATGCCCAAGAATCTGGATTCCATAGGTAACAAACCTCCAGACCTCAGAGTGGGTGGGTGGGGACTTCTTGGAATTCAATGTTGCAGGTGGGGGGAATATATACAGTTTTATACAGTTTTACAGTTTTATGCCTGGCCAGAGGGTGCCATGGCATGCCAGCAGGGGTAGGAGGTCCAGTTTTTAGGGGGTCTCTCCTGAGGGATAGAGTGGGAGGAAGTTTGAACTCTGCTCGCTTGTTTGCATGGAGTAAACTGTGAGCCCTTGTTGTGGGGGAGGGAACTCCCGTCTGCTTGGTGGTGGATTTTGTACCTTTTGGTTGTATTTTTGAGGTCGCAGCTCACCTCTGGAAGGCACAAGTGTGCTCTTCAATCTTCTCTCTTGGCTCTAATCCAAACCATCAGCTAACTTGCTAAACTTCTGTCCTTTAAGCCTCCTTCTGGACGAGAGCTTCTGAAAAAGCTGGCTGCAGTCCGCCATCTTGGCTCTGCCCCCCCCGGTAATTTTCTTTCTTTCTTTATTTTTGTTTTTGAGACAGAGTCTCACTATCTCACCCTCAGTAGAGTGCAGTGGCATTGCAGCTCACAGCAACTTCCAACTCTTGGACTTAAGTGATTCTCTTGCCTCAGCCTCCCAAGTAGCTGGGACTAAGGTTCACTCCTCAATGCCTGGCTGTTTTTTGTTGCAGTTGTCTTATTTAGCTGGCCAGAGCTGTATTCAAACCTGCCAGCCTCAGTGTATGTGGCTGGTACCATAACCACTGTGCTACAGGTACTGAGCCAGATTGGGTAATTTATAAAGAACAGAGATTTTTTTTCTTTCAATTCTGGAGGCTGGTATGTCGAAGGTCAAGGGATGTGCATCTGGTGGGGGCCTTCTTGGTGTGTTAAGGGGCAAGGAGGAAGGAGTCTAGAGCATGAGAGAGAGAGAGTGTGTGTGTGAGAGAGATAGAGACAGAGGAGAGAGAGAGTTGGGGGAGGAGAGGGAGAGAGAAGAGAGAGAGACAGGAGAAAGATATAGAGATGACAGAGAGGAGAGAGAGCTAGAAAGAGAGAGGGAGGAGAGAGGACAGAGGAGAGGAGAGAGAGAGGAGGGAGAGAGAGAGGAGAAAGAGTAGAAAGGATCAAACTTATCCTTTTATCAGGAACCCACTCCTTGATATAATCATCACCTTGATGATTATAATCACCTTGATCACCTTATAATCCCCTTGATCAGGAACCCATTCCCTTGATATAATCATCTTTTGAAAGTTTTTACACCACTCATCACTGTTGGATTGAGGATAAAGTTGCCACACATCTATGTATTTTAATCAAACCTATATCTCTTGGTTTTTTTTCTTGGAGTGCTTATGTGATGTGAGGCCTCTTCAGTCTGACTGACCTTCAGCCCTCTGTGGCCCATTCTGCCTGGGCCTTTGTAGTCTTGTTGTTACTCACATCTAAGGAGTTTTTTCTCAAACAGATATTCTCCCCAGGAACTTCATTTCTACATGATTCAATTTCTGCTTTCATTTTATCTTCTTAATCGTCTTCTCACTTTTATATCTCCTCCTTGAGCTATTATACTGTGTATCCAGCCCTGAATTAGAAGCAAGAAATTTTAAAATGTTAAAGCAATTGTTCCTTCTTTGGGGGAACCTTTGTTCCAGGGGGAGAGACAGACATGCATTCAGCAGAGTGCAGAGAGCACAGGAGGGAACCATGCACCGTAGACTGAGAGGCTCACAGAGGGACACACAACACAGGCTGTGGGTGGCTTGGCACGTGTCCGTGAGCCTCCTGGCATGATGCCAGAGGAGGAGACGTTGTCCATAGAGGCCTGGTTAAGGTGGTGACAGCAGAGGAAGGAGCATATGATTTGCGAGACTGTAGATAGACTTTACAAGAGTTTGTGATTGATATCCTAATTGTTCTATCATTTCAACAGAAGTGTGTCCCTTAATTATACCTAGCACAGAGCTGAACATGGGGTGGACATAATCATCCTCTATTCTTGAGTTGCCTTGAGTTTTTTTTTTTCCTGTTCCTTTCTCTTACTCATTCTAGCATGTAATGATTCCTTGTACATCTGTGTGCATAGTGGTCATACAAAGAGGCTTGTGTGGAGGGAAATTCGATCATAGTGAATGTTTGCACAAACCATCTCTCGATTGACTCTAAAAATGACCTTCAATCCTTACAAATGCCTGTGCACCTCCCTTATTGAAGATTCTGCTCCTCTTTTACTTCAGTATTATCAGGGACTCCAGGATGGACCCAGAATTTAGATATGGCCTAAGGCCAGAGCTTTGTTTTATAGTGCTATGCTCCATCCTTCAGAGGCATGGACAGAATGACCTATGGTCAACATGGGTGTGATGACTAGGCTCCAAGAATGTGTCTTCTTTTCTTTTAGCCTGTGCTGTGAGGTTGTACTTTCTTAATATCTGTGAGGCTTGGGTTCTGCCTCCATAGATAAGAATGATTCTGTTAATCTTAGTAGACTTGCTGTTCGAACCTGCCATTCCTCTACTAGGTGTATATACAAAATACCAAAAATCACTTTACAACAAAGATATTTGCACCGGATTGTTATTGCAGCTCAATTAATAATTGCCAAGTCATAGAAGAAGCCCAAGTGCCCACTGATCCATGAATGGATTAATAAATTGTGGTATATGTTTACCATGGAATATTATGAAGCCTTAAAAAAGATGGAGACTTCACCTCTTTTATGTTTACATGGATGGAGCTGGAATATATTCTTCTTAGTAAAGTATCTCCAGAATGGAAGAAAAAGTATCCAATGTACTAAGTACTATTATGAAACCAATTTATAATCACCCACACTTTCATATGAAAGATAAAACACAACTATAGCTCAGGATGAAGGAGGGAAGAGGAAGGGGAGGAGAGGGAAGAGAAGAGGTTAAATGGAGGGAGGGTAATTGGAGGGACCACATCTGTGGTGAATATTGCAAGGATACATGTCAAATCTATTAAGTGTAGAGTATAAATGTCTTACCACAATAATTAAGTAAGTGAGGTGAAGGCTATGTTAATCAGTTGATGTAAGCATTCCAAATTGTATATAAAGTCAGCATATTCTACTCCATAAATGCATTAATGTATGCATGATTTATGTATTTATTACTTAATAAAAAATAATAAAAAAGAAATTATACAGCCAAAACAAAACAAAACAAAACAAACAAAGATAAGAATGATTGTGCTTATCTTATTGGTTTCACCTGCTTGGTATAAGAACCTCCTATGTGAGTTACAAGGTTTGAAAATTAAGTTCATAAACTCATTCTAGAAAAAGTGCTACATATCTCATTGCAGAATATCATTACAGTCACCAGGTGGCCAAGGGGAGTACTTCAAATATGACCATAGTGACATTCAGCAATGAGGTACATAGCACTTTTTCTAGGATGAGTTCATGAATTTAAGTGTTCAACTTCATATGTGAAGAGTCTTTGCAGACATTTCATATTCATAGTGGATTATGCTGTGATCATTATCATGTGTGGCAAGACTTTGGGAGGCACTGGGAATATTCTTCTGTCTCCAAATTTCTTTCCCATTTCTCTGTCACTCTATAATAACTGGCCTTCAAGATAAAGTTCTTTTGATAAAGATTCTATGATATTCTTATGGTCTAGCTGGGCTCAGATCTCTTATTTTCTGCCCATTTTCCACCAGGCATCTTTTGTGATATCTTAATCCCCAGAAAATAGTCACATCTGAATCACAGAAAAGGAAGAAAGGAACCCACAGTTGTCTGGGGGTAATAATTGTTTGAGTGGGGCAGGATCTAAGAAAAAAATAATTTTTTCTGGCTTCAAAAGTCATACAATGACAAGGTCCACACACTGATCTGCTTTAACATTACCTTCTGTTTTTGTTGCAGTCCTCGGTGATGTTACTGGTTCTAGGGTGGGTCTTTATCCCCATCTACCTCAAGGCAGGGGTAAGTATTCACAGTTGTTGAAGGTGAATCTGTGTGGCCTTCATTTATTTGCTTATTCTTTCCATTTAATAATGAAACCTGGTGTGCTGCCCTGTACCTCTGAGCTTAGGTCCCATGTTTATTCCATTTGTTACAATTGTTTAGACCAAAGGGTGCTGTATTCCTGGGGTGATGGAGATCAGGGGAAATACTTCTGGATAATACCCTGCAGACCTCCATATATTCACCTTCTGCTCACTCCAGGCTCCTTCCACTTCCATACTTGAACAAACTCTACTGAAAAATTTTGTATCTTTAATACAAAAACTCCTGCCATAGAACTCATAGCTGTGTTTGTAAGTGTGGATTGCTATCTTTCAAGGGTCCTTTCCAGTTTCTTGTGGGCCAGAAATTCTCTTTCTCTTTCATTTTTTATAGCATTATATAAATATTTAACTATTTTTAGATGGAGAGAGTCAATCATGAGCTGTGAACAAACTAGAAAGCTGTGCCTTTTATAATATGCATCATGAAGTCAGTCTTATACCTTAGTAATGGTAACCACAGATTTTGCTTTTCTATTTTTTTTTTCTTTTTGAGACAGAGTCTCACTGTGTTGCTCCAGGCTAGAGTGCTATGGTGTCATAGTTCACAGTAACCTCAAACTCCTAGGCTCAAGTCATCCTCCTGCTGGATGCACAGCTAATTTTACTATTTTTACTAGAGGCAGGGGTCTCACTCTTTCTCAGGCTTGTCTTGAAATCCTGAGCTCAAGTAATCCTTCTGCCTCGGTCTGTCAGAGTGTGAAAATTACAGGTGTGAGCCACCATGCTAAGCCAACCCAGTTTTTTTTCCTCTAAGATTTAATGTGATTCTCTTCTTTTCAGTAAAGATAATCAAATAAACATATACCCAATTGTATATTTGCAATTTGTTCAGTTATCAATTTATTGTAAACCGTGGTTCATTATTTACAAGTAATATTTATTGTTTCAGTGGACTGAACATTATTGGTGTAAGTAATAAAGATTATCTGTTGCGTGTCTACTAGGTACTTGATGGTGTAGGTACTTTATCTGTTCCTTCATGTTAACCTCCCATTTTATAGATGAGAAAAGGGAGATTCAGAGACATTGTCATTTGCTAAAGGTGGAACTGGGAGAAGATCCCAAGATCGTCTGACTCTTATGCCTATATGTTCATTCCAGCATTGCCACTCTCCCAAGAGACCATGCCTACCTCACCTCCCTATTCCCTAGGTGCCAGGCACAGCATTTAACTGCTTACAGGTATTTGGTGAATGTTTAATAATCTGAATACGTGGGGCTCTGAAGGTGAATTTCTCTTGATTTCTGTCTCTGTAGGTGATGACCATGCCAGGATATCTCAAGAAGAGGTTTGGTGGAAATCGTCTCCAGGTCTACTTTTCCATCCTCTCCCTCTTCATCTGTGTGATTTTGTCTATCACAGTGAGTTCAAAAGGTTTCCTGATGGAGGCAGAGTGCTGAGATCAGAGATCTGGGTGTGTAGACTGTCAACAGTCCTAAAAGGGTCGAGTCATATGGAAGTTTTAAACTCCTTGGGGTCTCTCTACCAAGTTTTAATGGAGGGATAAAGGAGATTCAGAAACCCTGTGTTCACAGAGGAGTAGACTTTCAAGTCATGAGAGGTTACAGAGTGAATGTGCACTCTCCTTCATCAAGGCTATGAAAACTTGGATGTACAGAAAGAACTAATGTCTCTTTCAAGTAACACAGCTGCTTAGTAGTAAAGAAAACCACTTCTTTGGTCTCTTACCTTATCCACTGCATGATAATTTTTATATTCTCAGAGTTAGTCTAAGTTTTTTCAGTTTGATTCTGTCATGTTAAGCACAAATAATGCGTTTTGCATTATTATATTGATTTTATTATTTTAAATTTTTAAAAATTTACTGTATTTTATCTAAGACCATCCCTGTAAAACAAACATCACAAATAAGTGTTAAAAGAACTTAAAAGTCACATTGTTTTGGAGATAGTCACTGAAGAAAGAAGAAAGGAATTTGAAGACTCAGCAGCACACGTTTAGAAAACAAAGGCAGAGTAAGTCATTTACCCCTGTGTTATCAGTGACTAATGAAATAATCTCAGGGTTACAGTCCAGCCACATGTCTCAATGTCCACGAGGAAGAAAATGAACCTTTACTATTGCTTTTCTGTTGAAAGTGATCTAGCTGCTTAGATTAGACAGCATGAGCCTTCCTAACACAACATGAGCATTTCCCAGCACTAACTGTGTACTGTTGAGCTCTGTGTTAGGGTAACAAAGATTCCTGACCAACAGGAGCTCACCACATGGGTCAGGAGATAATTCTACACATGAAATAATTAGCCTTTTGTGACAATCCACAAAAATATGTGAAAATCTGTGCTGGACTGGAGTGTATGGACAAGTACAGGAGAAGCCTTGTGCACACCCAGGAAAGAGGATGGTCCTTTGTGGATGGAACTGGCGGTCACAAAGGGGACACCTGAGCAGTCCCCGAGATGAGGAGGTTAGGAGAGGCAGAGGGAAACAGAGGAGCCCACAGGTGTCAGGACTTTGTGCCCACATGTTCCTCAGTTGGACTGGACTTATCTCCAAACTCTCCTCTGGCTCTGACACCTACAGCTTTTATGGCTTCAAAGAGCATGAACAGGTATGGAGACAGAATGACAGGTGCCGAAGGGGCCCCTGAAGGTTGCAGCCTCCTGCAGTGAGGGGTTCCTGGTGGTGGACTAGGGCTGGAAAATCGGTGAACTGGTGGAGTGCAGGGAGGCCAGGAGGGTGACCTGCAGCATCTGTGGTTGGCTGAAGATTCCCTGGCAGGAGGACATTCTCACCTGCAAAGTTTAATTTTACCTGATATCAACAATGATTAATCTTAGACATGACCTTTTGTGTACTTCCATACTCTGATAACAGATTCTGTCCTGGTTACTTATTAGACAGACCAATATGACGAGTCAGGACAGGACAGTTCTCAAAGTTCTCCTGTGCTAGGTTTGAAAAAGATCATGTTTCTCTCTGATTGTCCACCCCCAATTTTATATATATACATGTAAATATATTTGTATATACATACATACATATGTATATGATTTTAGATATATATTATAAAAATATTTATATATACATATGTATATTACATATATAATAAAATATTATATAATATAATAATATTATATTAATAAAATATATGATTTTGGATACATATTATAAAAATATTTTATTGTATATACATATATGTAATATGCATATGTATATAGAAATATTTTTATAATATATATCTAAAATCAGTTGTTGGCATGGTGCCCTTTTATCCCTTAATATTTCAGCCTATATTTCCTAAAAACATACTACTCTTTTCAAAATCCACAGTGAAAACTTTAAAATAAAAATATTAAGTTTGACAAAATTTATTACCAAAGTTATAGTCCCCTATTCAGATATTGGCATTTTACCAATGTAGTCTCTTTATAACAAAAGAAATCCTGGATCCTTGTAATTCCTATTTATTATGAAAATAATCATTATGAATATAATTAATGCCACTTAATTATATAAATAATTATTATAATCTGTTATTTTAAATAACAAATTTTATGTCATATATATTTATAAAAACAAAAAATCATTGATAATATTAATATATAAGCTACTTATATATAATTTCAAAATTGTCCTTTATTTATACAAACATATCCCCTCTATGCTGCTAGTTAGATTATTTATCTTTTATTTGTATGAATTCATGGGGTACTTGAGGAAATTTGTTACGGGTATACAGTGTATAGTTATCAAGTCAGGGTATTTAGGTATCCATCTGTTGAGTACTATGTTAGATATAGTTAAACCTTAGATTTATTTCTTTTATTTTATTGTATGTTTGTGCCCTTATTAATCCTTTGTCATATGTGCAGTTGTTAAGTATTTTCTCCTGTTCTGTAGGTTGCTTCTTCCCTTTGCTGATTATTTCCTTTGTGTTCCTTTTTAGCTTGATGTGATCCTATTTGTCCATTTATGCCTTGGTTGCCTGTGCTTTTGAGGTATTACTCAAGAAATAGTTGCCCAGCTGTGGACATGACCATAAAAACAAAAACAAAACAAAACTTCCACTAGGTTTTCTTTTTGCTACTTTGCTAGCACTCAGCCTACTGGGGATTTTTGTTAACCCTTTATTAGACTATTGTTTTCCTTCCATTGCCTATGTGTGAGCACTGTGGAAATACAATGCAAGTCTATACACAATACACAATCTAATAGACTGTGATTGTCTAATAGATTTTACAGCAGGAACAGTGCATGCCTGGATTTCTTGTGCCTTATAGAGGAGATATTTCTAGCTAATTCTTATTGCAGCTCTTCTGGATAGCTAATAACTTAGGTTGTTTGTAGAGTTAAGGGAGGCTTGTTTTATATGATCATCTTTGGAGATGTAAACTTTTGTTATTACGTAGGGCTAATAGGACAACTGTGGATTGAGGATCTGTTGTATTAAAAAGGGCTGTCTTGAAGGTAAATATACAGTGACTCAATCCTTTGAGATGGACAGCAGAAGGAGAATCACATGTGAAATTCCTTGAATAAAAATTTATTAATTTTGCCCAATGCCATAATAAAAAATGCTTTTTACACGAACCCCCCCCCCCAAAAAAAAAGAAAAAGAAAAAAAATGAAATCATTACCCAGGCTAATGTTCTGGAGCATTCTCCCAATGTTTTCTTTTAGGAGTTTCATACTTTCAGATCTTAGATTTAAGCTCCAATCAATTTTGATTTGATTTTTGCATATGCTGAGAGACGGGTCTAGCTTTATTTTTCTGCATATGGATATCCAATTTTCTCAGCATCATTTATTGAAGAGATGATTCTCCCTCTCCCTCCAATGTATGTTCTTGGCACCTTTATCAAAAGTGAGTTCACTAAGCTAAGAGCATCAGTCTACCAGGCTTTAGGGATGAAATGGTAAAAACCCTCAAAGAAAGAATGGGAGAAACACTTGAAGATATTGGCCTGGCGAAAGACTTTGTGAGGAAGACTTCTGTGGCAATTTCAACAACAGCAAAAATAAACAAACGGGACTTAATTAAACTGAAAAGCTTCTGTACAGGTAAGGAGACAACAACCAAAGTAAATAGACAATGTATACAATGGGAAAGGATATTTGTATATTTTGAATTGGACAAAAGCTTGATAACTAGGATCTGCAGACAACCCAAATTAATCAACATAAAAAGAGTGAACAATCCCTTATATCACTGGGCAAGAGAGATGAACAGAATCTTCTTTAAAGATGACAGACAAATGGCTAACAAACGTATGAAAAATGCACATCATTCCTAATTATTAGAGAAATGCAAATCAAAACCAACCTGAGATATCATCTAACTCCAGTGAGAATGGCCACATCACAAAGTCTCAAAACTGCAGATGCTGGCGTGGATGTGGAGAGAAAGAAACAATTTTACACTGCTGTTGTGACTACAAACTAATACAACCCTTTGGAAGGAAGTATTTTCGAAGAACTCAAACCAGACCTTCCAATTGATCCTGGAATAACGTTACTGGTCATCTACCCAGAAGAAAAAAATTCTTTTACCATAGGGATACTTGCACCATACTGTTTATTGCAGCTTAATTTACAATCAACAATGTGGAAACAACCTAAATGCCCAACAGCCCATGAATGGATTAGCAAGCTATGGCATATGTATACCATGGAATAATATTCAGCTATTAAAAGATGGATACTTGGCTCAGTGCCCATAGCTCAGAGAGTAGGATGCCAGCCACATACACCAAGGCTGGTGGGTTCAAGCCCAGCCCAGGCCTGCTAAACAACAATGACAACTGCAACCAAAAAATGGCTGGGCATGTGGTGGGTGCCTGTAGTCCCAGCTACTTGAGAGGCTGAGAATCACTTAAGCCCAAGAGTTGAAGGTTGCTGTGAGCTGTGACGCCACAGCACTCTATGGCGGGTGAGAAAGAGACTCTGTCTCAATTTAAAAAAAAAAAAAAGATGGAGTGGCGCCTGTAGCTCAAAGAGGGTAGGGTGCCGGTCCCATATGCTGGAGGTGGCAGGTTCAAACTCAGACTTGGCCAAAAAAAAAAGATGGAGACTTTACATTTTTAGTATTAACCTGGATGGAAGTGGAACACATTCTTCTTAGTAAAGCATCACAAGAATGGAGAAGCAAGAATCCTCTTTACTCAATTCTGATATGAGGATAATTAATGATCTAGTACACGGTGGGGGGTGGAGCAATGGGATGGCAGAGAGAGGGAAGGAGGGATTGAGGTGGGGAGTCATTGTGTGACACACATTTTGGGGGCAGGATACAATTATAAGAGGGAATTTACCTAACAAATGGAATCAATATAACCTGGTTCTTTCTTCAATGAAACCCTGACAATTAAAAAAAAATGAGTTTACTATAAATGTGTGT